TAAATGTTTATGAAAATTAATAAAATATAGAAAAAAAAGAATTTTTAAAATACTTGAGCACCACAACAAGATAAAGGCAAATAATCCAGTTGAAAAATGGCACAGGATATGAACAGACACCTCACCAAAGAAGACATGCAGATGGCGAACAAACACATGAAGAAATGTTCAAAATCCCTAGCTCCAAGGGAGAAGCAAATCAGAACAACTATGAGATATCATCTCACCCATTAAGAGTAGCAACATTTAACAGAATAGCAAACAACAAATATTGGCAAGGTTGTGGAGAAATTGGAACCCTTTATTCACTGTTAGTGGGAGTGCAAAATGGTGCAACCACTATGGAAGGCTCTATGGCGCTTTCTGAAAAAGCTGCAAACAGAAATTTGACCCAGCAATTCCACTACTGGGAATATACCTAAAGAAACCAGAACCGCCACCCAAGCAGATATATGCTCACCTATGTTTATTTTACATTTTTATATTCACACAATGGAGTACTACACTGCATTAAAAAACAAGGAACTCATGCATTATTCAAAATGGGTGACCCTGGAAGACATAATACTGAGTGAAATTCTCAGAAACAAAAGGATAAATACTGCATAGTGCCACTGTTACTAAAGAGGACTGACATAGGGGTTAGAGGGAGACTGGGAAAGATGGGATAAATTATGTATACTTCATTGAAACAAATGAGGGAGAAAACTGTTTAAAAGGGATATATGTTTAGATATTATTGTCATGACAGGATTCCAGACTGAAGGCAGCATAGTGGAGTGGACTTGGGGGGGAGGGATTGTATAACAATGAAACAAATTTTTTTTTTACTTTTCAAAGAGAAAAAGGAATTGGGAGGGGCAGAGAGAAAAGTGCAACAATGAATGAATGGAAATCCAAAGCCTCTGTAAAGTTTTCTTTAAACTTAATTAAAAAATGGTCTTTTGAACAGGTTTTTAAAAACATTCCTTTTATGCATGGAAGAAATACTTGCACATAATGTAGTAGTGACATACTGGTTATCATAGTATCATTTTGATTCTTAAATGTTTTGAACAGATACATAATTAAAAGTACTTTAATTTGAAAATTCCCTCTTTTTTTTGCTACTGAAGTTTTTAAACTTTAACTTTTTTACAAAATTCATCTTTAGTTATAAATACATTTTCTTTTTTTTAATTTTTTATTTTTCTTTTTTTTGTTTTCTTTTTTGTTACATTTTCTTTCTAATACTATTTTCTTTAAAAATAGAACTAAAGGCAAATTCGTGCACTTTTATTTAATTCATTTTCTTAAACTTTTAGGCTCAACTTTAAAGAAGCTTCTACACACTGGAAATACTATTAAGGTATTTATTTTAGATGAATCTTTAATGGCTTTTTCCATTCTTTACTAATACCATGAAGTGGCAACATTATACAATTAAAAAAAATCAACACCAAAAAATAAACTGTAAACCTCTTAATGGATTTTTAATTTTAATTGAGAAATTATATGATAAATATTCTTTAAGTTTATATTCTTTAATCATAACTAGTTATGATAGAAATTTTCAAAACAGCTTGGGATTCATAATTTGGATACCAAGTTCTAATTATGGTTTTTTGTTCTACAGATAGGAAACCTGGACAATTTACTGTTTGGTCCACTTTTATTACCTGAAACAGGACAGTGTTGGACAAGTTTTTCTCTTGGCTTTAGCAACAACATGCCTGACTCTATTTAACTCCAGTAATGTGGTTAAAATTTAGTTACCTTTGAATTATTTTTTATAATTTTAAGGACAAAATTACCCTTAAATATATTTATATGCAGAAGGGCTTTGTGTTTTTTTTTTTTTAATGATTTAGGTAGATGACACAAAAATATAATTGACAGTCTGAGAAAAATATTTTATAGAAAATAATTAATTTTCTATAGAAGACATTCTTTGTATAAAAGAATAGAAATTCTAAATAATTACTTTCTATAGAAAATAACTGCACTGTTACCCCAAAGGCAGGCAGTTCAAATCTACCAGCTGGCGTGTAAGAAAAATTGACCAGTGTCTTTCCATGTGGTTTATTGTCTCTGAAGACCTGCTGGAAGGCCAGCTATTAGTTGGTTCAAACTCGATGGCACTTAACAACATTCAGATTGTATATGTCTTTAATAGACTAAATGTTTTTTGTTTATTCCAGTTTAAAAAATCACAGCTGCTTAAAATTGGAAATATTACCAATCACTTATATACTGAAAAAGAGGAATGATTACTGTCCTCCTCTTTTGTGTGTGCTCTTTTACAAGATTAGCTGAAATCTAGCACATTGTTATCTTGTATCTATTTATTTAAATTTAGTTGTCTTAAATACTGTTAATATAAAACACAACTTACAGAATTTTGTATTTTCTGCTTGTTAAGCTTACTGTAATTTGACTTTACATGGAGCAGTATTGTTTTCTCTTGGTGGTTGGACAATATTGTGCCTTCTGCAATGTTATGCCCTGTTATACCTGCTTAGGAGAGGAGGGAAAGTGTGCTTGGGCCTGGTGCTTAGTTCTCACCCTGCCTGAAACATGCACTGGGAAATATCCTCGTTCTCAGGGACATACACTCTCCAGATCAGCTGGCAGACATACCAGCCCCTCCTTTTGACTCTTGCTTTCCTTTGGAGTCTCTTGTTTGGCTTGCATCAGCTCACCCTTGCTCAGGTAGAGCTCGCACAGCTGTGCTTTAATGGGCATGCTGGCTCAGAATCGGGTGGTCATTTATATGGCCTGTGTTTGATGTTTCATCTGCATTTGACATTTTCCTATTTTTGTTAATTTAATTTCTTTTATTGACATCATCTCAGATATTTGAGGCTAAAGAACTGGAGGTGGCAATGTTTTAGAATTCTGGACATAGTAGGAAATTGTAAGTTAGTTTTTGTTGTTGGTATGTGCCATCGAGTGGCCTACAACTCATAGTGACCCTATATGCAACATCCCTAAACCCTGTTTTATCCTGTGCCAATCTTATTGTCTCTGTCACACCTATCCCCATTACCCCAGTGACTGAATCAATCCATCTTATCGAGGGTCTTCCTCTCCTGCCCTGTCCCTCCACCCTCTCAAGCATGACGTCCCTTTCCAAGGACTGATCCTACCTTGCAGCATGTCCAGAGTATGTCAGATGGAGCTTCAGAATCCTTGCCTCCAAGGAGCATCCTGGTCTCACCCTCTTTAGGACGAACTTGCTTGTTCTCCTAGCAGTCCATGGTGTAGTCAATACTCTTCTCTAGCACCACAGCTCAAAGGCATCAACACTTCTTCTATCATCCCTAATCATTGTCTAGCTCTCTGATGTAATTTCAAAGACCATAGCCTGTATCAGATGCACCTTAGTCTCCAGACTGACATTGTTGATCTTCTGTACTTTGGAGAGGTCTCTGACAGCAGAGTTTCCCAATGCAATTAGTTTTTTTATTTCCTGGCTGCTGATACCAAGAGTTTTGAAGCAAACTGAAGCTGTCAACAATCTTAAACTCTTCACCATCTATTGTTGTTGTTGTTATGTATCGTTGAGTTGCTTGCGACTCATAGCGACCCTATGTACAACAGCCCTAAACTCTGCTCTGTCCTGTGCCAGTTGCACTGTCTCTGACACACCCATCCCAATTCCCCCAGTCACTGAATCAATCCATGTCATAGAAGGCCTTGCCCTCCTGCACCTGCCCTCCACCATCCCAAGCATGATGGCCCTCTTCAAGGACCAGCCCCTCCTTACAACATGTCCAAAGCATGTTCGACGGAGCCTCAGAATCCTTGCCTCCAGGGAGCCACCCAGTTTAACCCTTTCCAGGATGATCTGTTTGTTTTCCTAGCAGTCTATGGTCCCCTTAAACTCTTCTCCAGCACCACAGCTCAAAGGCATCAATTCTCCTTCTATCCTCCTTAGTCATTGGCCAACTTTCTGATGCATAACAAGTGATAGCAAAGACCATGGCCTGTATCAGATGTACCTAAGTCTCCAGAGAGACACCATTGTTCTTCAGTATTTTGGAGAGGTCCCTAATAGCAGACTTTGCCATGGCATTACATCTTTTAATTTCCTGGCTACTGGTGCCAAACGTGTTGACTGTGGAACTAAGCAAAGTAAAGCTGTGAACAATCTCAATTTTTCACCATCCATCCTGTTGCTGCCAATTGGTCCAGTGGTGAGAATCTTTGTCTTCTTGACATTGAGCCTCAATCCATATTGGAGGCTGCAGTCCTTGGTGCTCCGCAGCAAGCACTTCAGGTCCTCCTCAGTTTCAGGAAGCAGGGTTGTGCCATCTGCATAACGCAGATTGTTGATAGATCTTCCACCAATCTTGACCCCACATTTCTTCTCATAGAGCTCAGCCTCCCGGATAATCTGTTCTGCATACAGGTTGAAAAGGTATGGAGACAGAATACTTCCCTGGCGTAGGCCCTTCTCAGTTTTGAACCATGCAGTGTTTCCTTGCTCTGTCTGATGACTGCCTCTTAGTCCAAGTATAGGTTTCTCATTAGCATGATCAAGTGTTCTGGGATTCCCATTCTTCTCAGAGTCAGACATAGTTTGTTATGCTCCATACAGTCAAATTGCCTTTGCATAGTCAATGAAACACAGATATACATTCCTCTGGTATTCCTTGCTTTCAGCTAAGATCCATCTAACATTAGCTACAGTATTCCTAGTACCACAACCCCTTCTAAAACCCAGCCTGGACGTATAGCAGTTCTCTGCCGAGCACATCACCATCTATAGAAGAGAAAAAAAATGTGTTTTCTTAATGTTAGTGTTTCTATCCATTGCTGCTGACTATTCAGAGTATGGTGAAAGTACTGGAAAGACTAGCTGCAGAACATATGCCAAGGAGAGCGGAGAGCTGGTCCAATATCATTGACCAGGGAGGTCTTCAAAGCCTTTCCTTATTTAACTCCAGATGTTGTGATTTTGGAGATAATGCATGTACATACCATAATGACATCAGAAAAATTCTATTCGTAGTGAAAATTTGAAAGATTATCTTTGTCATACTTTTCATAGATCACGGAGCTTCAGTGGTAAGTACTGCTCTCTTATGGAATGCATATTTTTTGTTTTTAAATTAATTTATTAATTTTTCATTTCAATGAACATCTACAGAGATTTTGGAATTCCATTCATTCATTGTTTCACCCTTCTCCCCCCCCTTTGCTCCTCTCCTTGAAAAACAAACGAAAACCTCCCTCATTGGTACACAATCACCCCCGCACATCCCCAAACCCCACCCCAACCCCAAATATAATCCACTCTGCAACCCTCATTCCGTACTCTTACAATAAACATAATGCTCTAAAATATAATACTTTTAAATTATTCTCTCCCCCATAGACTTCAATGCCGTAAACATATTTCATCCAGTTTTTCTCAGTCTTACCCCCACCCCGATGTCAGCCTCATTCTACAACAGTGGCCCCATATAGCATTTGTCCCTTTGTGACTGAGATACCTCACTCAGCATAATGTCCTGTAGGGTCACCCATTTTGAATAATATTGCATGAGTTCCTTGTTTTTCAGTGGAATGAATATTGTTAATAAGCAGTGTTTACATAGTATTTATTATGACTAGGAACTGCCCTAAATGTTTTCTATAAGTTAATTAATTTGATCCTGATTGCAGTATAATATGATAAATCCCTGTTTTACAGATAGGAAACTTAAACAGAGAGAAGTGTAAATGTTGCTGTCATGTCAGAGCTGGAAAGTGGCAGAGCCTGTTATTTAAACTAAAGTTAGTTTGACATCAGAACCCAAGCTATTAGCCCTGATACTGTACTGCAACATCTTTGCTCACTATTCTTAAGTATTTGGTGCAGTACTTTAAAGTCATCTTTATCTACTAGTTTTTCTTTTCAGGATTGATGCCTTATTGCAGTGAATTTGTGAAAATAACACGTTTTTTTGTTTTACATTTTATTTTTAGATAAGATGTGAAGGAATCAGGTTATTTCTTTTATGGCTTCAAGCACTTCAGACAAACTGTGCAGAAGAGCAGGTGCTGATTTTTGCTTGTCTTGTGCCTGGTTTCCCAGCTGTCATATCATCTAGAGGGCCCTGCACGCTGGAGACACTCCTCAATCCCAGCCCTGCTACACCTGACAGTGAGTAATGTGGTCATTGTTGTTATGTACTGTCGAGTTGACTACAGAGTTCATAGTGACACTATGAAGAACAGCTCAAATCCTTGCCTTATCCTGAGCTAACTTCACCATCTTTGACACACCTGACCATATTAACATAGTCAGTTTGTTAATCCATCTCATCTAGGATCTTCCTCTCTTGGGCTGGTCCTCTACCCTTCCAAGCATGATGTCCTTCTCCAAAAACTTGTTCTTCCTGACAACATGCCCAAAGTAATCTGAAGTTTTAGAATTTTTCATGTCATTGTTCCCTTGAGGAAACCTTTAATTTGCCATTTTCCTAAATGGATTCATGGATGGAATCAGAAGAGGAATTATTTCCTATTCACAGTAGAATCTTAAAATATTAGAATTGAGTCAGACCTTATTGTATTTTAATGAAGATAGGGAACATTTACTGAAATAGTAGAAGCAGGAATGGAAAAGAAGGTAATAGCAAGAAGTGTGAACAGATAGTGTCTAGAGTATTTTTGTAGCTGTTAATGAGATTTAAATTTCTGTCCAAGACTCTTGTTTATTATTCTCATCACTGATGTTTCATAAGTGGACGTTCATCTGCTTGCCTCTGAGCTTCCCTTGCCAGCTGTATATTTTTATGCAGCATTTGTAGAAGGACAGTGGTTACCTCATGGGACTATTATTGGCAGCTGTTTGAGTCCTGTTTTTCAAGGAATTTGCCTCTTAGAGTTTATTATTGCATATCATTGTATTGTTCATTGACTACTGTTTTATCTTAGACTGACCAAAGCATAATTTAAAAAGGGGAAGAGATAGTGGGCAAGTTGGCATCACTTATTCCCAAGTATCCTACTAGTATGTGGCTCACAGTGAGGGTTTTGAAGAGTGGAGAGATGAAACAAGCTCAGGTTTCACACTCATTGCCATTGAGTCAGAACCAACTCGTATCTGACCCTCCAGTGGGACTTTAGAAGCAGAAAATCGCATGGGAGGTTTCCCATCTATTTTCTGCAGAGCAACTGGTAGATTCAAATTGCCAGCCTTTGGGGTGACAGTCTAGCAACTTACCCACAAGGCCACCAGAGCTTTCTGGATGGATGGATGAATGGATGGATGGTTGAATTATATGTGTTTTTAAAACTATATGAAATTTAACTTTTAAAAATGCTCTCATTATTTTCTACCCTACAGCAAAGATATATCCAGAAGAAATCACTCCACTCCTGCCCACTGTGTCAGGGGATAAGATTACAGAGGACCAAACATGCTTTTTCCTTCAGATACTGTTGAAATATATGGTTATTCATGTAAGAAAATAATTGTAAATAACTTCATAATTGCTTTAGTATCAGTAGGAAAGAGAAACTGTACCCTTCCTGTTCTCTTGTTGCTTGTGCTTTTTCAGTTGATGTGATTTTTTATATGATATTTTCTAAAGTATAGAGCCAGAGGAGTCCTATTTTGTAAGTGTGTATTTGTGTAAATTCCTTTTCTTCTTTATCCTTTATCTAACCCTGACCTCTGTGCTAGTAGATGGGCTAAGGGAGGAACCAGCTCAGAGGTTTATGTCACGTAATCATTTTTCTCCTTATATTTACCTACTGAATATAGAATTAAAAGAATTCCTTTATGATTTAAAATTCTTGCTTTTTATTGAACATCAGTTTGGTTAGAATAAAATCTACTGATTAATTTCTTTCATCTAAGACATTGTTGTCCGTCAGTTCAACCTGGTTGTAATTATCTCACTTCCTGCCTTCACCACTGAGTTTGTTGAAATCTTAATCTCTGAGAAATTCGGTTTCTCACTTAGTTTTCCTTTGACACCCACTGTAACTTACCATATTTCCTGTCACTGTGAGATAGCAGGTTCCAAGTTCATGCATGGATTCTAGGGGCAGAGTCCAAGGGATGGACACTCCTCAGTTTCTGTCCTATTCTGTTTCTTGTTGTCTATCCCTCATGACCCCACCTCTGTGGTGTTTTATCTTCTTCCCTTTCTTTCACTTCTTCCAAGTTTTCATTAGGCCCCTCTTTATCTCTCTGGTGTCCCTCAGGATTTAGTTCCTTGGCTACACTTTATGACTACTCTCATTCTTGAGAGCCTGTTGCTTCTCATCTCCTGTTTTCTTTAACCAACACAAAAAACATGAGAACTCTCATACCCTAAGAACTCAGCCTGAATATTTTGTTATCTTTTATTTGAAGCTTTTATCTTTCTGGTTCTTAATGATCTTGTACCTCAAACTCCATCTGTTAAAAAAATGACTCGGAATTCCATTTGTCCAGAAAGTCAACAGAGAGTATTTAGCACTTGAATATGCTGGACTGCTTGGGTTCTCATTCTAGATGTGTCACTAATGTGCTGTGGACAAGCCTTGTAATTTCCAAGATTCTAATGGTAATGTTGTGGAACTAAGGTTTATTTTGATGTGGTTTTTTTTTGGGGGGGGGGTGTTTTTTTTTTTCGGTGCAGACTGCCCTTGCTTTATCTTTCCCTTGCCCCAATTTATATTTAGAATCTTATATGCATGTCCACTCCTCTCTCCCCTTCTTCCCTTTTCCCACTCTTTATTAACTAGGATGGTCATTAAATCAGAGCTTCTCCCTGGGCACACCTCAGTAATACTGTGACAGGTTGCAGAGATAGACATTTTTTGCCCTGGTCAGCCAGAGTACCTTCTCTCTTTGCCTGAGGAGCTGCACAACAATGACCGTTTTCTTTTTTTTTTCCATTCA